TGTGACAATTATTAATATTGTGGTGTAACTTCTACTCATCTTACACATTCAAAATAAACACTCTTTGTCTCATTTATATTAAGTTTCTAAAATACTGCGAGCTGGAATCGACTGTACTGTCTAGGCGTGTTCTTTCTGTTCTTTCCTTGCTTTATTACGTCTATATGCTTCGCGATAAGTTATCTATCTCGACACGGTAAGCAATGATTTTCGTGTTACTGTTCTACTTTATTAAAAGTTCACCTTTTTTTTCCTCTCATATATTTAGCTAGCAGCGCACGAAATCACAATGTCAAAATATTCGCTTTCTGAACCAGCTACTATTTTTACAACGGACGGCGAATTTGAGTTCAACCCTAGTAGCTTGAACTTTGAAAACTATCTTTCATCGCCTGCAAGTGAAGAAGCCGAAGCAATAACTTCCTCTGAGGCTACTCCAACTTCTCCCCGAACCTCCTCCTCTCTACAAGATACATCTACCTCTCCAACAAGCATTTCTCCAAACCAGCCTTCAAGGAATTCGAAACAAAATTTTTTATCTTTGTTTAAAAAGAAAGATACTTCGAACAGTATAAATACCAACCCTACAACCAGACCCATCACTGCACTACCTCAACAATCACTGGTCAATGCAAATTCTCTCGCGCATGATTGTAATTTGGACACTACAGAAAATACTCTGCAAAATAACAATGATTTAGAGACTAATCATAAAGTATCGCAATCTATCATTGGTAGCGTTAGTGTACCAGACCTCCCTGCATTGAACACTAATGCGTTAGATGATGAGTACAATGCAATGATCAAGCATCAGGCCAGTGATATAGGCAACCGTGCTTCTGATGGAACTCATGGCTTGGTTAATGACTTTTCCGGAGGAAGGCATCCAAGCGTTTCCTCTAAAAAACACAAAAAAAGAAAAAACAGTATAGTTTCTGAAAAAGCGTTTAAGGAAGACTTTGGATTTAGGGTAATCAATTTTTATTTCTTATATGTAACCTTAAATATTTATTTATTTATTGCATATGTTAATTTCGTCGATCCAAGATAAAGCTATACGTATAATTTTTGGGTTTTAAACAATAATAACGTATTTTCTAAATTTATTTTCGGAAAGCATGGGATAAAAATAGCTACCTAAATTAAGACCCTGCATGTCATTACACCCATATTATTACTTTGCTTTATTTAAATTTATTGTCTATTTTTTACTTTAATAGAATACGATGAAAAATACTATGCGTAAAACTTCTACATTTTTCAAAAAACTTGGTAGCAAGGTATAATCAAATTTTTTTTTCTTATAATTAATCTTTATTAAAAAAAATTTTTTTTTTTTTTCGACAATATATTTATTTATTATATTATTATTATTATCTAATCTTTTAAATTCAGTCAACCTCCGATAATTCTCTTAATCACTGTGAACGCCCACCAATTCCAGATTTTCATGTACAAAATTCTCAAATTGTATCTTCTGACACATCACATCATACACAAGCCACACTAGATGTTAAAAATGATTCTACAATTCCGGAACCTCTTTCCTCTGCTACAACCATTGATGATACCTTTTCGGATAATAGTGCAAGTATTGATGAAAAAGAATTGCTTAAACGTACATTACTAGAGTACTCCTCTGTGTATACTGATTACGAATTAGACGATGACAATGATCGAAAATCAAGTTTGTACCGAATGTCTATACTAGGTGCTAACAAAAGTGTTCCTGATAACATTGGGAGAACTTATAATTGGAATGATCAATCTTCATATGATACCACTGAGAATATACCGATAAATACGAATTATACAACCAATTTTTTTGATAGTAAAAGAGTTAGTGGAAACACATTCATGAGTTTACCTGTAATAAAAAGTGAAAAGAAAAAAGCTGAATCAAAAATGGTATTGGAAGATATAAAAACTTTTAGTTTATCTCGAGTCAAAGAGGAAGATAATGAAGATGATATCATTGTTAAAAAATTCTCTACAAAAGGTTCAAAAACAAATGTGAAAGGGAGCACAAAGAATTCAAGTAAGCACTATGACGTAATGAAGAAGCACGTGTTAATTTTAAAATCAAGTTTTCTATTGTAATACATCATAAATGAGACAAAGAGTGTTTATTTTGAATGTGTAAGATGAGTAGAAGTTACACCACAATATTAATAATTGTCACA